ATTAGATGGCAGTTTCATGAGTCATTGATTTCAGTAGAATGAAGCCCAAACACCCACTGCTTCGCTGTGTTGGTGCCCTCCGGCTTCACTGTAAGGCTTTTCACATTTCAGACCCTGCATAAGTCCACTGGACTAGAACCAGAAAATCTGATTTGAGCTTCATTGTATTTTGCCTCCAAGGACCTATGTAATGCTAGTGCCCTGTGTATTAATTCTCCTCAGAAGACTCATGAAGATTGTTTTCTGGAATGGCAGCCTCACACCCAGTTTTATTACGTAAAGCTTAGGATGTTTCTAGCCTCTAGCCCACAGAACCAAGAAACTTAGTTTGCTGTAATTATAGCGAATTCCCAAAATGTGGGCACAGAAATGAAGCAGACATTCTGTATGTACCTTGTATTTATCTCTTTCTGTCCTTTTTCCTCCCTTCTTTACCCCAAGCCCAACTCTGAGTCTGTTCTACCTTCAACAGATTGTCAGAGCCAGTTTAATAAGCTTCTGACGACCTTCTTCGGTCCTTCCCCACTGCCCTCTGGCCATTTGCCCGCTGGTCTGCGTCTAATTAATGGGGTGGACAGAGGGAATGGAAAGACACGACCTCGGAGTGAGCAGATTCTGCTTCTCATTAAACATCCTGTGAAAAGACCTGGTGGAAAGAGTTGTCACGCAGTGCTTACCTGCCATGAGATTTGAGCACTTCTATTTGTTCACAGTTTTTATACCGTCACCCAGTAACCCTAACATCGGAAATGTCTGATCTGTTTTAACTAGCTGACCAGTAAGAAATATGTCACCCTGACAGTGCTTACACATTTCCAAACAAGTATAGTATCAGCGAGGGCCTTGAGCAAAACTGTGAATAAGGTGTAATTTATCCACTACTTCCCATTTTGGGATCCTTTCTTCCATCTGCTTATCTTCTGCCCATGTACTTTTACCTCATACATCTTTTCCCATAGCAGTGTGATGGAGAGGGCTGTTTTACACAACAATTTCTGCATTATAGAAACCATGAGGCCTTGTGAAAGAATGACCTAGAAGTTTGGATACTACAACACAAGGGAAAAGAACATCAGGAATATATTCTGTTTTCTCCTTTGGTTAACTTTTAAATCCCTTAATGCTTGTTCATATCATTCTGTTCATAAGGAGAAATGTTTGTAATGTCAAGTATATCACTCTATGAAAGAGTTTATATTATTCATTCAAGAAATACTTACTAAATTGCCCACAACTAGATGATCTTATTTAGGTAGTTTTAATTATAATTTATAAATAAGTATCACAAAAATACAAAGTGTTGTGGAACTTTAGAGAGAGGGATTACTTCTGCCTGAAACATGTAGTTTCAGGTAATAGTTACATGGCCAATTGCCGAATTCTCATCCCTACCCTTTAATCACATGCAGCCAAGAGCACTGACCTGGAGAGTGACTGCGGCTGATTTTACAGACTACAAGTAGGATGTCAGCTTGGAACTGCAGCAAGCACGGATGCTGAGGGCTAGAGTTTACCCACGGAGTATAGTTGCAACTGTTACCTGGGATGCTGCTTGTCAAGCTGTTTAGCAGGACCCCTGTGGTAGGAAGCTGCAAGGCCAGCCATGTTGCCAGTTGTATCACACGCATCACACACACAGTCCTGTCACACATTCGTATAACTTTCTATTGCTTGTCTCATATCTCCTGTTCAGATCGACACGGCATCTTTTTGGCAAAAAGGCAAATTACCATCAGTGACATTTGCATTTACTAAAAGGAGTGAGAGAATATTTTCATTCGCATTAAAATAAAAGCAAATATTTTCTCCATTCTCTTTGGAAAAAAAAATTCTTCCTTCATGATTTGAGAGCTGTCACTTTCCTAACATTTTAACAATTTCGGAAATTGAAAAGAGGAGAGACAGTAAAAGTGCTATCACAAGATCAAGACGGGGGAGTTCTCTGAATAAAATAACTGACTCTAGGTATTGTGATCATCTTTCTGTTGCAACTCCAGAGTTAATCAAATCCCAAGCTTTTGAAATAGCTCCTTTATTGAAGAAAATTGCTATACTGTTGATTTTAGCTTTTGTGTTTTAAATTTCTTTTTATTTTTTTTTTTTTTATTTTTTTTATTTTTAAGGATAAAAGGAGGGAAACATTAACAGACATACAACATTTTACAACATATCACAAGCACAATACATGTGTTTTAAATTTCTTAGTGTCACACTAAATTATTTCCACCTATAAGGGTAAAAACAAGGTATTTGGGATCACAGGAGGAGCTTGTGTGTTACATATGAAAGCCTCTTTCTTCCCTGTCATATCCATTTCTTCCCATGAAGAACACACATCTTTGGTATAGTGAGATCAGAAAAGGAATTGAGCATTTCTGCAAAGTGAGAATGAGACTTGACTCCTGCGGTATAAGTGGTTTAAGTCACCCTGCTCCTCCTCTGCTTCTCTAAATTTGGTGGCTATCTCTACCGCAAGGACACCAGCCTCTTCCACCCTGTGGAGGCTTAGCTGCAGAGGTGAGTGAGAATCCTGATGGGAGGGACAAGTACTATGGAGGTTTTCCTAAATGAGGCCAGACCACAGAAACCAGTGGTCAGTGAACTATGAGTGGAACTATGAACTACGAGCAAAGCCAAACATGGGTCTTTGTCTATTTCTGTGAGCACTAAAACACAGCCACACCTATTTGTCTATGTGTTCTGCTGTGTTTTGTTTTGTGTCTTTTTCTAGCAGCTTTCATACTACAGAGGCAAAGATGAACAGTTGCTGAGGAGTGACAATGGATTCCCATGAGGCCTAAATTACTTACTTTCTGGTCCTTTACAGAAAAAAAGACATTTGCTGACCCCTAGTTTAAATCACTCTTACTCTATAGATAAGCTACTTTTGAAGATGAAAGCTAGGGAATAGAGAGGAAGTAGGAAATGCTACTCACTGAAATTGCATACGTCAACTATAAGAGATTTCAAGGTAGAAGTACGATACATGTATGCATGCTATTCCAATTTGGCAATTGCTATGAAAATGTCGAGGGGGCTGACTAACATCGTTGTGAAACTACATATTCTGATCATTAAGTTAGAAATTTTCCCATAAATTAGGCATTTGACTTTTTAAAGGGAATTTAGCCTTCGCTGGAGATGGAAATTAAGAGAAACAAACAAACCCACAGGTACACCAAGGGCTCAAGTTTATGACCCAGTGAAAGGAACTGGGGAAGGGATGTTGGGTTCCAGCATAAGCAACTGATGCCCTTTAGTTCCAGGACACAAATGTCCACTAAACGTAGGCTCCCTGTGTGGAATGCATCTCCCCTAAGGCAGGAGGTCTGAAATGATAGCTCTGGGAGAGGCCCACACTTTAGGTCTTATAAGGTTAAATGGAAATTAAAATAGAACTAGGCAGCAGAATGCTCATCTTATAATTTAATGACAGTATCTGTGGGTCCATTAATACTTTGTGGCAGTTAATCAAAAAATTATGGAGTATTTGCCTTTCTGATGGCCCCTACTCTGTTGAGTAGCTGGCTATCTTCTCCTCCCCACTTCTTTGAATAAGTCCTCTTCCTTTATTTAAAAAAAAAATCATAAAAGGTTAGAGGATGGGTTAGAGTCTTGATTTACTTCCAAGCCTATGAGCTGCATTTCTGGAGAGAAGCAGAGGGATGGTAAATGACATATTCAGGTAGAGTGGGGTCAGTAGCGAAACCAGTGTTTTGAGTTTCTATCAAAGCATTCTCCATCTGTCTGTCAATCTCTTTTGTTAAACTAAAATATGTTCTCTGGGTTAGTTTTGTATTGAGTTCCCGCTGATCAGAATTAAACTTGAAGTAATTGTGGTGCTCATTGAGGCGATAAATAAGGCATCTCATCCTTCATCAGAATTGCTGGGAAATAGCAACCTGCTTCTCTTGTACACGCACATATTTCTGTATTCTTTCATTTTCAACACGCCTTTTCAAGAATGTTATCTGTTCCTTCCGGGCCTGCCTGCTCCTGTACCCTCACATTCTTCTGGCAGTGATGAGTCCAACTACTTTCTAGCTGTTCCCTTTGTTTTTGGCTTCCGGTCCCTTCTGAGACAAGGAGCCATACTCCATCCCTTCTTGGCAAACATCTACCCTCCCTTTCAGAAAAGAAAGAGGCAGGGAGGATGTCTGTGCAAATAAAGAACAAAAAAATGGAAATACGAGAGCTAGCCAAACCGTAAGAAAATAAGGCCTTGCCTCAAAAGGAAAAAAAAAGTAGAAAAAGAAAAAAGAAAAAGGAAATAATATGATCCTGGCAAACTTGTTCTCATTTGTAGTCACTGTGCAGCGCAGAGAGGGTGGACAAAGGAGGATATTTCATTGTCAGTGCCTTCTCCCTGTGAGTCATCCCTCACGCGGACCCTAACCTGCTCATCCATCAGAGGGGCTTTGGATGGCATCGCATTGCCTTTGCCCACTGAGAGTCACCGAGCCTATTATGAATGTGCCCTGCCCTTAATGCAGCTTTAGAGTGAGCACAGTAAGGACTGGTATCAGTTTCAGTAGCACACTCATGCAAGGGGTCTTAAGTCACTTTCTCTTATTTAATGCCTCCTGCCTTCAGGCCTGAGGATCATCTTCAAACTTTTTTTTTTTTTGTATTCAGGCACTCACTTTTGCCAGCTGTGCATGTACACCTTGGTAGTAAGGAGGAGGAATGGGAGAAATTTGCAGCTCTATGTCTGTGAGACCAGCTTAAACTGGGCTCTGATCACCCACAAGCCCCAGGATGACACAGTCTAAGCCTGTTTGGATGAGGAATTAGCACACTTAGAGACGGGACCAGAACCAAAACACACCTGTCCATGATATCTCCAAAGGTGGTGGTGGGGTAACAGAAAATATAACACACAATGTCACCTTGGCAGACATGTATCAAATAGGATCGGAGAAATCCAAAAGTATCAGGCCCCACCTGGATCCCATCCCACTTTATTTTCCAAAATTCTCCCAGTGAATATCACCAAGTACCTGTTGATGCTGTTTTTCTGTGCTAACATCTGCCAGTCCTTGCCTTTGGCATTGGGAGTATCAAACGTAGCACAAATCCGCTGTCTGATAGAATAGGGAATTTTGAAGGCTTTGGGGCCAGTCTGTGCAGGGAAAGCGCTGTCCTCTTGCGCAAAGAAAGTGATGGTTTCTCGTTCACTCTATAAACAAAACAGGGAAAGCATTACTGACAATATTTTCATTTCTAAAACTCTGTGCAACGCATATGCAACATGCTTGCCGGTTCTGAGAAGTTCTACAAAAGGTGTTGACAAGTTCCCTTCCTTGTAAAATACTGAAGAACTTATCTAGCAACCTAATAAACTGTGTACTGGAGATTTACAATTGCCTGTTCCACTCAGCGGAGTCACAATCACCAGCTTCCAACATCTAAAGAACCATCAGGAAAAAGCAAGATTAGCTCTTTGTTTTTTGTTTTAGGTACACAGGGATAGATTTAGAATTAGAGGGGGAAAATTACCAAACAACAGATTCAGGCTTACTACATAGAATGACCCTCCGACAGTCCTTCTGCCCAGAGATAAATGGGCTGATCAAAGAAGCCTGTCGGATATCCCAGGTTTGCTTCCTCAATTCATGTCCTTATTTCTAGTCTGCCTGTGTAATGCCAATTGGCTATACATGAGTGTTTCTTAAAAAACAGGTCAGGTCAGGAAAGGTACAAAGATGTATTTATTGTATTAGTCACAAAAAAGTTTGTTTTACTCCCAAGTCCTAAAGTTGTATGATTCTATGATAAATCTTTCAATTTTGCTATAGAATTCAATCTCTTGGATGAAACAGATCTACCCATGCATTAGAGCTAGACTAGCTTTGGGCAAGAATGAAGACTAAAAAGCTTCGGCCTATTGTTTGCCTATCTTTCTTTTTAATTGAGGGCTATCGAATGAGGATTTGATATTTCAGTACATCATAGCCCTTAGATCACATCCAAAATAAAATTACACAGAAATTTGTCAGATCGCAGTAGTTGCTGATAAGTTTATGCGGACTAACAGAATATTAAAGACTGAAAAATATCTGAATGAATTACTTCCATGCTTATGATAAGTTATAAAACCTAAGGTGTTCTGTTGAAAGAATTAAAGTCCCTATTCAAGTGAGAGATTTTCCTGGGTGGGCCTGACTTAAACAGGTGGCTCTCAAAATGGGGAAGAGAAAGCTTTTGTTCAGAGGCCTCTTCTGCTGTCCTGGACAAAATCAAACAGCTGCACTGTGATCTGGCTGTATGAAGACCCCTGTGGCTGAAAGTGATCCTACCTAAGAGCCCAAGGGGGAAAAAACAAAAAAGAACTCGAGTCTTTTAGCTGCAAGAAACTGAACTGTGCAAACAACTTGAACGCTTTGGATTCTGTGCTGCAGATATGAAAATGTCCCTAGCCAACACTCTGATTTCAGCCTGTGTAATATTGATCATGATCTGTGTATGCCATGCATGGACTCTTGACTTACAAAAACTGCGAAGTAATAAATGAGTATTGTGTTATTCAGCTAAATGAGTATTGTTTTATTCAGCCATGCATGGATGCTTGACTTACAAAAATTTGAAGAAATAAATGAGTATTGTTTTATTCAGCTAAATTTGTGGTAATTTGTTATCTAAGCAGCAAAAGAAAAAAACTTGTACAAGGTAAAATTAAGGCAGGAGATATGAAGCTGGATTAAGGACCAGACAGGGCAATTTAAACCCCAAGAAGCTGATTTTGCATTAGGATATTGCCTGCTGTGCATCCCTCGAGTTAACAAGTTAATGCATGTTCTTCCTGAAAGCTGCTGATGTCCTTATCACCTATGCTCTGCAGTCCTCACTTGACTGCCTAGTCTGGGTGTCCCAACAACGGCCCTTCTCTGCTAGCGCCCAGCCTCATGTATCCATCAGAAGTGGGAGGTCTCCAAAAATCCCCAGCTGAAGTAAAAACTAGTAATGACCGGCACTGTTTCTGGTCTTTCTGTAATCAGTGAACACAGCTACATTTTGAAGGCTGTCTTTTGGAAACGGTGATTTAATGTAGCATTTCCAGAAGGGTATCTTAGGTGTTCCAGGAAACAGCAGCTTTGTGATGAAATACATTTAAGAAGTGCTTTGTATTATACCCGCCGCTTGGTGACTCAAATTATATATTATCATATTAAATAGATTCTGTTTGCTGGTTTTAGTTCTATTCCCTGGTGTATTACAGAACACTGCTCATAAAAACTCTTCCAATATTTGCAGTTAGCATGCCCTCATAGCAAAAGGATGGCTTTATGAATCAGAAAAATCACACTTTGGAGTAAGATGTATATACTTTTCTGCTGGTGACTCGAGATGCTCTATCATCTCAGCCTGAGTTTCTTAACCAGCCCTTTTGACTTTTTTACAGACCCCACAGAGGTTATGACATTTGGTAAAAGTCACCCAGGTAGTTGTTTTGTTTTTTTTTTTTTCCTTGGTACTGGGAATCTAACTAAGGACTTTGTGCTTGCCAGGCAAGTGCTATGCGGCTGAGCCATCTTCCTGGCCCTCCCTGGTAGCTTGTGACATAGCCAAAACAATGAATACACTGGAATTCAGGTACCCTAATCACTGCAGTGCTCATTTCCCTGTTTCAAGTGCAATGCAGGGAGCAGTGTGCTTAAGAAAAATATTCTGTGAGTGGTATTAGCATTATACTGCAGGTGTTTATGGCAGCAGAGCTTCATGGAGATAGCATTTGATTTGGCCTTGAAGAATTAGAAGGCATCAACCAAACAGAAATTGGGTGGATGGGTACTCACTCCAAGGAGAGTGAACAGGTCTATTCTGAAATATTGGATGGTTATAAAATAAACCAACTCTGCTTCTTACCGCAGAAAATGGGTTACAAGATATATCATTTTTATCATGGTTTGTAAAATTTCTTTTAGCCTCTAAAATGCAAATGAAGCAGGAATAGCTTCCTTATATATTTTTTGACTTAAAGAGTACGGTAGAAACTAGACAGAGTGGGGGGAAATCTAAGCAAGTTAACAGCAGCTGTGACTGAAAAATGGCACCAATGGGTATAAACTTGAGAAAAGGTGGCTTGAGATAGAAAATACAAAGTTCTGGGCCCAGGAGTGGGAGGACAAAGCCTTGTGGAAGTCCTGCTGGTACTTGTGAAATGTCTACCAAGATCTGCCTTTACTATTGGCAGAAGAAAGACCACCTTGATATACAATGTCTTCAGAAAAGGCTGGAGACAGTGGTCTTCTTTGAAAGTAAATAAAATATTATATGAGACTGAACCTTAAAATGAGTACTTTTTCTAATTTACAACCCTTTAATAAGTAGGCCCAATTTCCCTTTTTTTTTTTTTTTTTTTTTTTTTGGTTTTTCTCCGGTACCAGGAACCGAACTCACGACCTTGCGCTTGCCAGGCAGGCGCTTTTGCCGCTGAGCTAAATCCCCAGCCCTTCTAATGTATTTTTTTTTTTTTTTTTTTTTTTTTTGGTTTTCCAATTTCCCTTTTAAAGGTTCCAAATTTAAATATTTTGCACGCATAAAGACAGCACTTTAGGTAACATTTATGATGCATTCTAAAAGACATCTGGGCCAGGTAATAAGAATCCTGTAGATACATCACATTTTCTGATTGTTTAAATTAAATATGCAGAGGAACAGTAGATTTTCATGCTCTGCACATCTGAGATAAGCAACTGCTACCCGTTTAGCTTAGGGAGTTGTAAATCAATGAGCAAATCCAAGTATTCTGTTTTATAACAGACAAATTATCCCCCAACTTCCACCACTTTTGCAGGAAAGATAAGAGAATTGCTTGAAGGGAAAACTGTAAAGTACAAGATTCCCATTTAAGTCATTTTTACCAAAAAAAAATATGCCTCCCATAATATTATACTAATAAAAGGAGCAACGTAATAAATTACCTAGGGATTCTTCCTTTCTTAGTATTAACTAAAAAAAAATTTTGTTCCTCTTTAGATGGGCGATGCTGCTGTTTTTTCCAGACTATCAATTGACAATAATCACTAGGTAATACAATAGTGTTAAGTTTAATGTTACATGTATTAATAATAAAAATTTAAAAATTTAAAATTTAAAAATTTAAAAATTTAATTTTCTAAAGATTCAAACGATATTGGCAACTCTAAAGAGCAATATAGACACTTTCTTGCTCTCTAAAGTAATTTTTAATTTTAGGGGTGGTATTAAGAATTGTATTTATTTGGAAAATCACTTAGCTATGAGGCCTGAGGGATGTGATAGATGTTGCTGACCATAAAGGAGTGAATGCCTTCAATGAGGATAATCACTGCACGGATGTAGACATTTAAAATAAATATTTTATATCTCTGTGTAAATAGATAAGGACACACATGCATACATACCTACTTCATGATTTTAAGAGGAAACAGCAATACTAAAACAATTCATTCAAGTAAGAAACAGAGTGGGATTTCTGAGCCTAAATGTACAGGAATTGTTTTAAAAAGAGAAAGATAAAAAAGATAAAAACAATGATAAAGAGTTTCAAAGAAGGATAATAAGAAATTAACAATGGTTAATGTATATCATTGTCTTCAAAGTAGTTGCTCAGATTACAAGATGTAGGCATGCAAAATTAATTAACCAATATAAGCACAAACCGATCTTTTCAGTGGAGTAGTATAATGATGTTAGTTGAGACAGAGAGAGAAGGAGGGAGAGAGAGAGAGAATGTACAGGAATTTTTGAGGGGAGTGGGTATTACCAAATAAAAATGAAAGAATTTCAAAGATATTTGTGGAAAGTTTCACAAGTTCCATATTATTGTTCTTGATTTTAATCAATAAAACACTAGCTTCTAACTTAGGAGAGCCAGGTAACTACAGTCTTTCCCAGCTGGTGACTATGATGTTCGGTGCAGATTCTAATTGATCTGTGAGACAAACTTACTGATCCACAGAGACCTATGTCAGGGAGGCCCGCTACCTTTTCCCCAAGGAATCGCCATTTCTCTCTACTTTGTATGTTTCCCATTTTGCCTGGACCTTTTCATATAAAACTCAAGTAATCCTTAGAGAAAAGGGGGTGGTTTTTATTCATCAGATATATCACTAGATGTATGCTTTGCCCAGGAGTTACACAGTCACACAGTTGGAAGGACCTTGTGTGATCATTTAATCAAGCTATCATCTATAGGATCTACATGTAGACCATTCCTTCTATTCTTCAGGTGCTATAATAAAATAAACAGTTGTTCTAATCCATCACACAAATGGTTCCATCCCACGCTACCTTTTTTCTTTGGAAGAAAAGACTTCTCAGTTTTCATATTAACTCCTTTTGTGTATCCAAAGGTAACATTTGGTGGTGCTGGGAGGTCTGTCACTAGTACGTGGGCTCCTAAGTGAAGGTTCGTGCTATGGATAAGGCCCACAGTGAAGGCTGGTCTTGCTTGAGCCCCTGAAGTAATGCAGTAACTCTCTCTCATCCTATTAGCTCAAAGACTTTGGACCACAAAGTTGACTTCTTTGAGAGCTATATCATGCAAAATTGTGTCAGGAGTAATACTTAACCCACAAGGTAGTGATGATTATATGACAGATATGAAAACAAATGAAAGAGTATCTGAGATATAGTGGCTTTCAAAAGTTATTAGATTTCTCCTGACACAGAAAACGTTAACAAATGAGATTTGTCTAAGGAATACAGTTTATTACAAAAGGATAGATATACACTGGGTCAAATTCCTACAGGAACACTTGATGCAATTAATAAAATGATCCTTGGAAAGATCAAAAGGGCTAAAAAGCTTCTAAAATGAAGTAGCCTATGAACCTGACAACTTACACAAAAATGAAAATCTAAATATTATTCTATTTGCCTCCCACTGTAAAAAGATACTATGAAAGTATCTTATTCAAGGCATTTCAAAGCAGCTTTAAACTTATACAGCATTAGAAAAGGAATTGGAGAGTAAAGGTCAGAAGTGGGTTTATTAGCTAACTTCCCTTCCTTGTACATCAAATAATTTATATTGGTAAGGAAAAACGATATCAGAACGGACCAGCCTTATCATATTATATTATATAAATATCCTAAGTGCCAGAAGTTGATCCCCAACATGTGCATACCTTAAAAAACAAAATGCTTTAAGCCTGGAATTCTTTTGATGACTTGGTAACAGACATTGAGGGAAATCTGGATCAGAGGTATCTGTAAATTTTGCCTTTTCATGATTGTTTCTGAATAATAGGTCTTTTGTGATTTTCCTCTTGTTGATATTTTAAAACTTTCCTAAAATTTTAATGTTACTTTGAAATGTATTATGTTACACATGCCAGGACTAAAAAAGAAAGGCTCTAAAAATATCCTACCCCAGGTTTCTGGATATACCTAACCCATCAAAACTCTTTTAGCACAAAATGCTAATTGGCAATAATGAATGCAAAGCGTGGATAAACATGTCAGTGAAGACAGCTATCAATTTTAATCCTTTGGAAAACCATCTACTCAGAAAACTACCTTGGGAATTAGCAGTATTCATTTTTCATAATGAATTATAATGAGAATGGAGATCTGTGAAAATGGTATATGGCTATGAGTTTTCAAAGCAAAATCTGAAATTAAGTTGTATCTATATAAATGTACTAAAACTTCTGTCAAGCCTAAATTAAGAAATATGTTTTACTTGTACATTTATCTATATTTATATGTTAATCAATCAACTACACAGGTGAATAATGAAATTTGTCAGGGCTGGGGATTTAGCTGAGCAGCAAAGCGCCTGCCTGGCAAGCGCAAGGTCGTGAGTTCGGTTCCTAGTACTGGAGAAAAACCAAGAAAAAAAAGAAATTTGTCTTTTGCTATACTAGCCAGGAATTACCTTGAAATTGAGAATCAAAGGCATCAGATCCTCTGCTATTCTCTGAGGTGCTATCCTCTGCTATTCTCTCCCTTTGATTCTAAAGAATCCCTTTTTTTTTTTTTTTTTTTTTTTGGTTTTTCTCCGGTACCGGGAACCGAACTCACTACCTTGTGCTTGCCAGGCAGGCGCTTTGCTGCTGAGCTAAATCCCCAGCCCCACTAAAGAATCCCTTTGAGAAGGGATTCCTCTGTATGTGTAAGCTGAAGTGCAGAACTACAAGGTCATTCAGTGGTTTTGGGCAAATCTGAGCCATTGTAGACATCAGGTGCCTTTTGCAACCTTTCCCAAGTACATTCTCTTTTGATTCCCATTTTTAACCCTGCCTTTCAATAGTGATATTAGTTGGGAAATATCCCCTACTCTTTCTCATTCTGACTCTTTACCTTGTCAAATGAGATTCATTTCTACTCTGTCTATCTTACCCTGTTCTCTCACCTCTGGAACAGAAATCTAAAGAACTACCTAGACACCAAAATGTAAGGATGCTCAAGTGTTTGTGTAAAGATTGTGTCATACTCGCACATAACCGTTGTACACCTTTCTGTATATTTTACATCATCTCTAGATTAGAATTCCTAATATAAACCTGTGCAAATCATTGCAATGTTTAGGAAATAATGACTGGAAAAAATTCTGTACATGTTTAGTACAGATGTAAATTTTGTTTTCAGAATATTTTCATTCTGTGTTGGTTGAATCCATAAATGTAAAAGTCATGGATTCTAAGCGCCAACTGTATTATTCCAGTGAAGAATCTAGATTCAGTGAAAATCTGGACATATAAAACCATGAGCCTGGAGGATATGAGGTAAATTATCCTCCCAAGACAACAAAAATCCCAGGTCCTAACGATGAAGTACATATAAGGCAAATGACTTCTAGAAAATTAGTTAGAACTAGCTGAAAACCAGCCCAGTGGTGATATTAATCTACCATAAGAAGTTACGGTATGTACCTCAGCTGTGCTTTCTGGACTCAGCCTATAGTGCATCTCAGCTGATATTCCAAGCCTACTATAGACTACGAATCTGCTTGTGGTTTTGTGCATGAAAAATCCTGTACTACCTCCTTCCTAAAAAGTCACTCCCCAGAGCCTATATTTAAATTTAACCTACATGTTAAATTTCCCTGCCCAGTGGGAAGCATAGTTCAACCCTCAGCCTGTGAAAGTTAATTTTCCTTTATCAATAATGAGGATAAAAAGAGTTTGTGCATTTTGAAGATTTTTTTTTCAACCTTTGAAGAGCATAGCTGTGATCGGCATAGGGCTATTATTCTTATTGTGCTTTATAAAAGGAGTCAAAAGACTGGTTGCCTCCCAGACTCACCTCTAGGATGGATGTCTGCACTTGGAGGATCTGTTCATGGCCTTTGAGCTGCCGGATGCAGATTTTGCAGGACAGCTGGGTGGTGGTGGGCGTGTAGCGCTCCAGGGAGAAGGCACAGTGCAGGGGCTGCCGGTTACTGCACCACACGCGAGAGAATGGGACTTCCTGCAGGGGAGATGGAGCACAGAAAGGGGCATGGGGTGCAAAGCCTGGCTGGGATGAATGGAGACCAGAAGACACTCAATAGCAGTAATTATGATGATGATGACAGAGATCACAGCAGCGACAACTGCCTAAGCGACTTTGATGGGATTATTGTAGAAATAATGTTCCAGCATATGCCAAGCAGCACAAAAGTAATTAATGTCAATTCCAATTGATAACATTTGAATTCAAAATCACACTGCTAGAGCTCAGATTTCACTTGGTGACACATACAATTAAAAAGAATACCATGAAAATTTATCATTTTCCCACTAAAAAATTATTCTCCTAGAAGACACCTATAGCTTATCCTTCGACTTAAGCCCAGGATAAGATGACATTTTCTGATTTAAAATTGTGTTAAAGAACTGACTAACCAGATCTTGTCCCTTGTATTACAGACTCATGTAGAATTATATGGGAACACCATGTTGTCAAAATGTCCAGCATAAAATACATACCTGCTGCAAAATCACACACATATCCACACATCCAAGAGAAGGGAGACACAAATATATTGAGCTACCCCAGAGCGATACAGTTTGCCAGTTTTGCATTTTGTTTAATTCATCAACTCCACAATTATGTATAAGGAGCTTGCTAATGGTTGGCCACTCTACTAGATAAACAATGAGCAATAATAACTATTTAGGTTTGGTTCTTGCTCTCAAGGGACTTATAGAAAATTGAGTGGGCAAAGTAATTTTTACTAAACGAGGATGAAAATTATTTCTTAACACTAGTGAGTGCATGCTGAACAACAGGACTGTGCCCTGGTTTGTGGCTTTACAACATATCTGTTAACTGTTTTCATGTAGTAAGAAGTCTCTTCTCCTTACTCAAAAATGGCTGGGGCCAATGGCAATGACCATGTATACCTAGCCTCTAGTAATCTACTAGTATTCAACCTTATCTTTTTCTCTGTTTCTCTTTTCATTAACTTGTTCCATTTTGTGACCATATATATTTGCAATAGTAAAACTGCAAGGTGGCAAAACATATATCAAGTCTGGAAGTTTGAGACTATGAAATATGAGTGGTGGTGAAGCTGTCATGTGTTATAAGGCCAACAATCATGTTAAAATTCATTCTATTCACGTGGAGGAACTATGAGTCATTCAGTTATTCTTGAACTCTGTTGTACATACGGGTTTATATAATTTATCTCCTAATTTTTTTTAAAAAAATCTCATAGATCCTGATTTTGCATACTTGCTGGGGAACCAGTGAGGAAGGGTGAATTTTAGATTGCTGTAAATGTAAAAAGAGAAGGGCTAGCTTTAGATAGAATGGGGGAACAAAATCAAACATTCACTCTTGACATGCCTCTCTGCAGTGAATATAAGAATTTTGTGAATTTTGATTTGTTTCATTCTTAATACTGAGCCAGAGGAATAGTAGTGGAGATTCTTCTCAAAAAGTAAAGACAAGAACTCAGAAAGCACAAAACTGTGACACTTTTCAGCATTTTATTGATTTCATTCCTGTGCAAGATGTGGACTATTAGTCTGCAGTACTGTCTTCACTTTTTCAATTCTCTCCAAGGCGGTAGGGGCTGGAAGCCTGAAAACTACTTTACAGCTTCCCTTGCTAGCAGTAGTTCGCATTCCCGTCCTGCTAATGGGAGGCAGTCATGCTGCATGTATGTGGGAGCAGAGGCATAGAGCCATCCTTTCCTCCTCACAGTGGTGGGAAGTCCCAGAGGCATCACCTGGCAGCACATGCAAGATAGGCAGGGGCTTCTGGATGTTCCCCTGGGTCTCATCTCTTTTTCTGGTGGTGTAATCTACTGAAATTCCTGACCCTGTTGGTTTCCTGATATCATTAGCAGCTTCCTCTAGCATTGATGCTGAGTTCCTCAAGGGTTCAGAAACACATAAATCCCTTGATTAAATAGGTCCTTGGTTGAAAGGTCTTGAGTGCTTTTTGTACTTTTGAGCAAAACAATTCTTTGATGAAATTCTAGTGGATCTGAAGAAATTATTTTAAAGCCTGAATTGGGTAACATGGAAAGATGCCACTGGTGAGTCCCACAGAGAGGGGACATGTAGGGCCAGCACTGAGCTAATTTTGGTAGAATCCAAACTTGTATCACCAGAAGGCAGCAATCTCCAGGAATAGTTCCTCATTCCTCCTTTCTTTCAACAGAGACTTTTATGTGTGGCCATTTCCATTCCCTTCCTGGCAGCAGACGCTGCAGTGGAAGACACCTCTGATTCAGGGAGCTTCTCACTAAACAGTAGAGAAAGGCATTTTCCCTGAAACACTCACAGCTGTCTTTTCACTTTATCATAATATATACATAAAAATTCTGCCCTTTCTCCTTGCTACCTAAGCTGATTCTCTCTCTGCTTCTCCTCCTGAGTCTTCTTCCATCTCTCAATCCATGAGCAATTTTTACTTTGGAATTCAAACTCATATTTCTCTCCCTGCCTACTGAACTCTTCAAGTTCCCATCTGCTCACACATGCCCATTTGCTCCCTCTGCAGAGGGAGCTACTACATGTATCCATGGCATTTACCTCACTATCATTAAATCCTGCCATTATACTCCTGAGCACTCAAAATAATTTTGTTTGGCCTTTATATCTTGGACAACTTTCTCTATTTTATTTTTGCTTTCCAGTACTGAGGACTGAACCCAGAGTCTTTACACTGAGCTACATCACCAGCCATTTTGTCTTTTGTTTCTTTATTTTGAGACAAGGTCTTGCTGAGTTGCCAAGGCTGGGCTTGAGCTTGTGATCCTCTTCCCTCATTCTCACACAGTGCTAGGTTTACAGGTGTGATCCACCACAGCAGGCTCAACTTTGCCTTTTAAGAGATTATCATCATCTCTCTCTCATTGTCATTCTGCTCCAATTTTCCTATTTCTATATATTGCATTTTTGTTTTCCGGTACTAGGTATGGAACTCAGGACCTTGCACTTGCCAGGCAGGCGCTTATGCCACTGAGCTATATCCCCAGCCCATATTTCTATATATTGCATTCCATAGCTAGGTATAATGGTCTAATTATTGGTTTTCAGTCTCTACTGGATAAAGTTAATGGGAAGTTTGGGGCTTGACAGGGGAAAAGAACAGAAAGCACTCGGTGTATATTCTTCAGGGAATAATGCTAAGGTCCCTCTCTTACCTCAGTCATGGGTGGGAGACAATGAACATGATCAGAAGACACTGAAACTCTGCTTCCACAAGTCATTAGCAAGGGGTAGTGTCTCCTGCTGCCTGCCATACTAAACATGGTCTCCTGCCTGGTCCTCTAAGGGCTCCCTTGAGATCTGTGACTGTCCTCTGCTTGCTGTCTCTATTCTTACTCTTCTAAGCTCTGGAATAGACTCTGTTTTCCAAATCAACATATTTTTGCAATATTACTTTGCACCATCCCTTTCAATGAAATTAACTAAAACTCAGGGATCTGAGATGAATAGGTGCTTTTAGCTGATCAAGAAAGTTTCTTTTATTTACAACCAAAATTTAAGACAGTGAAGTCTAATGTAAATGCTGGACTCAGGGATAGAAAGAGCTATGCTCAAGGTCTAGGTCACAAGCAAACCTACATTTTCTGCAGTGGCTTTGAGTCCTTGGTATTGTGTAACTTTCTAAAACAGTGACACTGACCATTTATTTAAAAATGTCTTCTCTAGTATCATTTGGTAAATTTCCTGTATTTTCTCCTGAAAACAGTGGAAGAAAAGTAAGAGAGTAATGCTTACTGTTGAGAGAATCTTTCCTTGAGAAAGATATGAGAATCAGTGATGTGCCTGTATGAGCCCCCTCCTTCTCTCCATCCCTCCCTCCCTCTCTCTCTCTGCTCTTTTCTTTTTACATGCCAGTGCACATAATGAAAACCTTTTAAAAATTCGATTTTAAGATAGTATCAAAGGAATATTTTTTATTGTTAACTTGAGTAGCAACTGCCAATAGTATATAACAAAATATTTAAAAATAATAGATTTAGAAGCACTGTGATTTAGTGTGTTTTCAGGACAATAATCTTTGCTTTTAGTTACTAAAAAAATAAAAGAACCCTAGAAAACAAAAACAAAATCACCAATGCACTTACTGAGCTGAGAGATATTATGCAGGAAGCAATATAGAGGACAAAGTGTAGCAAAGTTATGGGTATTTAAAGAGTTCCAGAGACGTTTTCATTCTGATTCCATTTATAATTAGGTTTCTAGCAGATGGAGAGAATGTAAATCATATCCTAGCAGGAGTCACACACTGAGTTTTCCAATATACATGGCATGCTGAAAAGACAGCTGCTTTTATCTCAGAGAAGTGACAACCTGACTTTGTGTTTTGTGAATTTTTAAGAATAAATAATTGATTGTATACTGTTTATTACAGCTTTCCCACGCCATAGGCAGCAAGAAATAAAGAAAACTATGAGTAAGTAACTCTGAGGTCCCAGTAATCTATGTAGAGCAGAGCATTTACCTCCTAAGGAGGGTTGCTCACCCGTGACACCAAGAGAGCAAGGGGAGGCTAATGCCACACTCTTAATAGTGCTAGAGTCTCAAAGCCTGAGAAGAAAATGGGCAGTCATTTAGTACTGGGAGTGGGGACAAGCACCGTGGGCATCAATTTTGCTTTCCACTAGGTTGATGGATATTATGCATCCAGATCTCCAAAGAAACACCCATAGCCTGTCCATTCCTCTTGTCCACCATCATACCTGGCATTATGTGCAAAAAAGCCTGCAGCACAACGCAGCTGTAGTCCTAGTGCTCCAACAACCTAAACCAAGATTTCAAACTTTATGTGGTCCTTTTATACATAGGCCCTCATCACATAGCTCAGGACACAGCATGAACTCACATTAATCTAAAATCATTTCTCATTAATTTGTTGGTCTCTGACAGAACATGAACGTTCTATGCATTCAGACTCCCTCCCAGGCCTGTGTTCCCAGAAGGAAGTAGGATGGTGCCATAGGTGAGTAGAGTTTGGGTATTTAATTGCAATATGTCAATTTCTACAGTCTCAATCTGAAGTTAGAAAAAGAAAAGGAAGACAACTGTACCAGGGACTTTTCATAGATTGAGTTGAAAGATGACAGGACAATTTACCAGTTAAAAGAGAGACCTACACACCATGTCAGGAAGAGTGTGATGTTCTGTCTCCACAATATTTCTCTGGGATAACATGAAAAAAGCCCTGTTAGTTCCCAACCACTAAGCCCTAATGAAAACCCATTCTCGGTAACCCACGCCAAGTTTGTCAGCGCACAGAATGTTCTACAGGAAGTTCAAGCAGGCTGAACGCAAACTCTCCCCAGAGTGCTTCCATCTACTGCCTGGGGCAAGCACAGCGTGGCCATTAAACCAAATACAAAATGCATCCTCACAAGCTGATGGATTTCAATGACAGCAGGGGTAAGAAGATTGGTGGGTAAGGGTGGCAGAGAGAGGAGGAATGGAGCGGAAAGCCATTTTGGGTAAGAAAAATGAAGTGGAAATGAAAACTCAGTGGCAAGCCTCCTGATGCACAGAGAATTAAACTGTTTCTCAGCCTTCCAAGACTCTGTCAAATTATGCTCAATTACAAAAGGCAAATATTTATACATGTTCACAACCTCCATGCAATCCAACCCATCCCAGCAGTGAAGCTCACTGGGCCTCCTCATGAGTCAACGCTCTTTGACTTTGGCTGGCCCTGGTGCATCTGCTGAGCTCTCTCAGCCTCCTTGGCCCCCTGCTCTTCTGGGACCCCTGTTGTTGGAATTATTGCTTAAGAGCTGCTGCAAGGTAATGGCTCTTTCATCTCATATTTTATCTTCAAGCATTAAACTTAATAGTTACTATGGACTCAGTCACTCATATTAGAGCCAATGAAATGAGACCCTTATATCCTATAAAGATTAATACATAGGAATTTGTGTGACTATCAAGACTTATTTTAACAATACTCTGAAGTTCAGTTTGGATTAGGAACTTGTGTAATGCTCACTGTAAAACAAAGACACCCAGGTGTTGAATGTCATTAGGAATGCACTGATTCATGTAAGATGTTTTCACAAGGAAATGTGTTGAATGTGCAAAACACATATGTACATGCATTCATGTGTATACACACACACACACACACACACACACACACACACACACACACAGATTGTGGCCATGAGAGATGTTTATATTACTTTGAATGCACTAACATTATACTAGGAGGGGCAGGTCCTAAGGCAATGTGAACTCTGAAAAATAGGAAGGGTAGTCTTTTCCCATGTGAAATGGTTTGAAGTTGGAAGATTTGGTGGTTGAACATTTTTCCTAACTATCATGGCAATGTTTCCAATTTGTGACTTGGCTCATTACCATTCTGAAAGCTGGAAACTTGTATATAATTTTTAAAAATGAATCTCCAAGGATGGAAAGGTTAACCATTCCCACAGGGGGCTGCATGTTTTGCCGATGGCCTTGAAAATATTCTGTGATTTCAGAACAAGGTGAGTCCACCAGCAGCCTTTTCAGGTCTAAGGAAAGTCCTATCACTTCAAGCTCAGGTGAGTCTGGCTTATGAAACTATGATGGACCAAGGCATGGGGGTACACAGCTGTAATCCCAACACTGAGGGAGGCTCGAGTCTGAGGATCAAATGTCTGAGTCCTGTCAGGGCAACTTAGTAGAAGCCTGTCAAAATAAAAAGAGCAGGGCATGTGGTATGTAGCTCGATGGCAGCACACCTCTGGGTATGATGCCCAGTACAGAAAAAGAAAATAAACTAAATTAAAATAACAACAATAAAACCCCCAAACAACACTCCCCCAAGAAAAGGGAAAGAAAGAAAAAAGCAAATATGATTGCCTATCTAGCTGCTTATGGGGAAAGGACTTATCAGAGGGAATTTGCACATACTTCTGGAGAGGCATCACAAGTTGAGAAGAAATCTTCTGATGCTAAGCATATATTCAAATTCCCTAAAAATGATCTAAAAGGACTCTGAATGATCCCGCAATGTTTAAAAAATCTCAATTAAGAGGCATATGGATACTAATATATACATATCTTTATATATTTATAAAATGACTCTAAAGAAGCATTGTCCTGCCTTTCCTTTTCAGCTTGGAATTTCTCTGAACTGGTCCAGCCCAGTTGGTGGCAAGCACTTCATACAAGAATGACAGCATCTTTTGTCACGAGTGGCCACATCTCTAAAGTTGTCCCCTGAAAAAGTTTGTCACTGATAGTACACTCACTGCTGAATATGAGAAAGCAACGTCTCGTAGTTAATTTTTATAACCAATACAAAACACCACTCAAACTGGCAAGTTGCCATCTTCACACCACACGGAGCAAGAAGTCAAAGAGCAGGAGGAGACATTTCATATGACCTGACATACAAGAACCTTCCTTCCCACCTGTTATGAACTGTGAGTTTCTGACAATACATTTCAATCCTTCTGTGTAGCCATGAAGATTACAACCGTGTGACAGTTTTGTGATGAAATCCATAATTTAAAGGACTAGGAACAACAAAAGGACCTCCCTAGGGTCTCTGACATGTTCCCGGGTTACAGCCCATGGTTTCTGTTCAAGCCCATTTGGCCAGTACCTGGCATGCAGTGAATGGTTTAATTCTCCAGAGGAATGGAGGGATGTCAAGGACGGAGATCTGGAGACTGAAGGTGTTCCCTTTGAAGTGCAGCAACTTTGGTTCCTCCAGTAGCTGTCCACCTTGATGCCTTTCATCTGAAACCACTTCCTACAGGGGAGAAAAGGCCAGAGGAACAGCAATGAAGCACCCAGCATCTGATGAACTTTTTCTATGCATACAGATGCTCACTACCATGTGCCCCCAGCGATGGACCAAAAGCATAACAGAAAAATACTCCTTTTAAATCTCTACATTCCTAGGAAGTTCAGGATGAAGGGCTGAAAGCTGCTGAGTAACAAGAATTGGTCAGCAAGAGACAACTCTTTTTGTGTTAAAGCACAGGCTTTATTAGGTGGCTTTTTTTAAAGCTCAAAGACCGCTTCTGGCTCCAGTAAAACTGTGAGACTGTCCAGTTTCTGTGATTATATGAATTTCATTCTGATATGACTATCATTGGTGCAAATACTTGTACTGCACATAATCATATTTCACAACAAAGTTAGCCACATCTCTAAGCCACTCTGCTCAATTATTCTCTAGAAACATAGGCATTAAATATTTTTTGAGGGGCTCAAAATAGATGTTCCGGAGTACATGTTTATTTGTGGCAACATTCATAAAAGTTACAGTGCCAAACGCCAAGCAAAAATAGGTTATTTATCATGTTAACTTTAGTTCAGGGGGAAAAATATCAAATTTCTGAGGTTAAAAACTCATATCTTTCAGTGAAATCATTTTATCTAATACAAATAAAGCCCACATTCATTGTATTGAATAAATATTTATCTGGTTTTAAACTTGTGGTAAAAATTATATTGGAGAGATGATGGGACAAATAAAACAATAGAACAAGTATGTATTCTGTAAAATAATAAGCTACTGTGAAGATAAACCTGTTCACGTGACTGGAGATAACAGATTTACCTCGCTGCATTACAAAATCACCATTAATTGACTTACAATTTCCTTGCAGAGCTAGGAGAATTAGAACAGTAGAAATCCATTATGCCCTATAATCTTCCCAGAAAAGTTGTAAGAAGTATGGCAAATAAGTTTATAAATATAATAAAACTTGCATTTGAATATCAGTAAGAGCAGCTTTTTGAGTTATTATGTGTACATATGGCATCTAAAATGTGTCTAATTTTTATCCTTCATGGACACATAAAGTGTTAATAGGCTTCTAGTGTATTTCTTTAGGAAGAAATGACTGAATTTCATTGTCATTTTCTCCAGCGCTTTGGTCTCTCCAGTGGGAAGAGTGGGTTTTAGGACCCTTAGGCCAGATGATTCTGATGGCTAGGCATGTTAGGAAATTACTATACAGATATCTCTCCGTGACTTTGAATCACTCACATGCACACTTATGTAACTTCTGGATCATCACCTCAAGAGTGAGACCTGAGTGTCACTTGAGTTTTCCTATCTGTTTCTGATATTTCAGTAAAAGCAACTGTTTGACTAATTTCTAAGTACAAAAGGTGGTCATATTGGAGGAGGGGGTAATAACAGAGGTAGTAACATTCAAGCTGAACCTTTGGCCGGTGTAGGACATGGCCACTTAGAAAGGAGGAGGGAGAACCGTAGATAGTGAGCAGGGGCCTCCAAAGGAATGGTGGCAGGACTCCCATGGGACAGGAAGTTAGGGTAAGAAGAGTGTAGCCGGAAACAGTATATGAACGGCAGGGCCCAAATCATGAATTCTTGCTTGTCATGCTGAAGGCCTTGCATTTTATTTTAAAATAAACCTGTTGCTCAGATTGTAAGACATCTGAGAATCTCCTGGGACTACCCATAGTCAAAAGAGTACATATAAGTGAAAGATAAAAGCTCAACATTCCAGTCACACTTCTTTGTGGTCTTAGACAAATTACTTATTTTCTTTAGGCACTGTTTGCTTACCTGGGTTTATTCCTAGCCAAGCAGTATAATTAGCATGATAATATATTATCCTTTTTGCAATTCTAGTGCAAGCTTAGAAACAGTTATAAGAAACATGCTTACTAAAACCATATCAAGGTCACGAGGCTCTCTGAAAAGCACACTCCTTTCTTTCAACCTAACTTGCCTGAATGCCTAAGAAAGTCAGTAGTCAAGAGAGCTGCCGCGACCTGTCAGAGACTATGCATTACCTAACGTAGTGCTAGTCTGTTTTAATATTTAAAAATTATGCAGAATCATCCTATTAGTGGGGAACTTAATGGAGATTTAGATCACTCAGTCTTGGTTTACTGAAAATATGGAGGCCTCTCCAAAATTGTCATTTGCCTAAGGTCACAAGGTTAATGACACAGCAAAACTAGAGCGAGCAGCTTCACAACAGTCTGTTGTCATTTTCTGTTAGATTCCCTGGCCTTCTCTTACACTGTGCTTGGTATTTCTTTACAGAGTCCTGGGAAGGCCACACTGCTATTAACTCTGTCCCATGAACAATTTTTATTGGTGCAATGTGTATATATATATATATATGACTTATATGACATAAGTCAGTCTATGTTTGCCATGGAGTTATATATACTGTCTAAACAGTCCTTGAAATGCACAATGGAGAACATTAGAAATTTTAAAAATGAATGTTTCCTTATAATTGCTGCAGAGGAAAAGGGTACTTTTAAAAACTGATGCTCTAGGCCTCCAATTTAAATACAACAATAACATTTTTTGTATTTTTAGGCTATTACTTTAATCTGTACATATTGAACTAACTATATGCAATTAATAGTATCACTTAATCTCACACAAAATATTAAGCAATTATAGTAATTCTGTAACAAAACAATTAATTGCTAAAATGAAAAAGTCCAATAATGTACTAATCACTATATTTATATATTTGTAACAAGACAGTTGGCTTCAGCATTACAGAAACAATCTCCTGAGTAGAATTTCTGAAACACTCTTCACACAGAACAGACATATTTAACATAGACTTCCACTCATGCCCGTAGATTACTACACTCTCTGGGCCTGGACATCTGCATTTATTTCATCATTATTTGCTGTACATGGAGTGAACTCAGAGCCATCACAATGTGCTATATCCCTGGGCTTTTTAATATTTTTTATTTTTATTTTGAGACAGGGTCTCACTAAGTTGTTAAACTGCCTAAGCTGGGTGTGAACTTGCCATCCTCTTGCCTCAGCCTCCCAGAGTGCCAGGATCATAGATGTGTGCTGGTGACATTAGTATTTTTAAGTGGTTCTTAGATGATTCTGACGGCTAGCCATGTTTGGGAATCAGTGATACAAATATCTCTACTGGGTGAGTTCTGAATTACTCACACGCATGCATCTCCCTAAGAGTGAGGCCTGAGAGTCATTTGAGTTTTCCTCTCTGAGTCTTATATTCTATTTAAGTCAACTGCTTAACTGATATCTTTTTTTTTTTTTTTTGGGACTGGAAATCGAACTCAGGACCTTGTCCTGGCCAGACAGGTGTTTGTGTTGCTGAGCTATATCCCTGGCTCCTGCTTAATTGCTTTCTGAGTTAAAGAAACCAGAAAACAGGATCGCAACCTTGTTGCCGGTGTTCAAAACCTTAGGGCACAGGTTGTGGCTGCCTAAGCTCTCTACTTCTTTATTTCTCTTTGGGTGTTGCAAGTTTCGGAAGCTGTGGCCAGGAAAAACCTGTGCTTTCTGCCTTGCTAAGCTCTTTATGGTGATTTAATGAGACAGGCAGAATATTCAGGTGTGCTTCAGGGATACCAAAACAGGCAGGCTGAATTTACATATTTATGAGACAAAACTGTTTGAACTTAGGCACACACACACACACCCACACACACACGCACACACACACAATTATGTTGTTGTGGTGTTTTCCTTTAAATGCTTTACATGAACAATATTTCCCAAGGTTGCATTATTGATAAACACAAGAACTACATCTGGAGGAAATCCTTTGAAATTAGATTCTAAATCCACATTAATGCCAAGTAAGTAATGAGTACCAAGAGGTACTGAATAGGAGTGCTGGGAGCCATGGTGGAAAAAAAACTAAAGCAAAACATTGTTTTTTCTCTAAGATAACATAGGGTAAGCGCTTAATTCTTTGCTTTTCCTGTGTCAAGGTTTGTTTAAGCTGTATGTGTGTGTCCATGTGTAATACAACTCCATAAAGAAAAACCAAGTCTTAAAGTGTTATAGCTTTGGAAATATATCACCAATCTTCACCCTTTGTTTGAAGTCACCACAGGAAGCAAGGGCAAGCACACAGACACCAAATGGCTGCTCTCACTGTCATAGAAATCGAAGGAGAGGACAAGAGGTTGTTTGACCTTTGTCTTTTCCTCCCTTATTGCATCTTCTGGCTGATGATGTTTTTATTTTGTAGTAAGATATCTACATCTGAGTTGCCTTAATTTTCCATAGAGAAGGTGTTAGATGTACCTATCAGAATAAATTTCAGAAAAAGCTGAGCCTACATTAGGATCAGCTTTGTGTCTTTGCCAGGTAACTAAAGTACATTGTCTTTGTCATTCGAAGACACACCTGCTATTCTTCAGATAGATTACCTCAGAAGGAAGGAAAAACTGAGTAGCATTGTAGGAGAGCTAGAAGAAGGATAGAAACTTCAGTTACCAGCATTCTTTAAAGGAATATTTTTTGGTGGGCCCAAGATGTTTCCTGGCCACTGCCGAGTTCTGACCACCAGGTAAACTTGAGTTTGGACAGGAAGAGTGATTTTTCATGCAAGGTTTTGCAGAGACAGGATGGATATTTCAGTGTTTTACGTGACATAATTTTCCAAGAAGATGTGAATGAAATGTAGGGTATATCCCTGCCCTTTGTCCACATTTCCTTACTGGTTGGGAGCAAAGCTCAGGTAGGCATCATTTGATGCCATTTCTTATTGCGATGCAGGAAATACAGCAGCAGTCACACCCATGCTTGCATTGTTTTCCTAATCACGATGCACATTTCCTTTTAGTGATAGTAGAAGAAAGGTCTAAGATGCACAATTTCTGCAGAAATGCTTCATGATGAAATCCAAACTAATTTTGACAGGGACAGGTTCTATGAGGGTTTCAGAGCATAAGTGAACATTGTACACAGCTCCCCCACCCAAGTTGGGGAGCTGATACTAGCTGTGAAGTCTTTTAAAAGATTCAAAAAGTGCATTGTTAAAGAAAACCAACAAACTTGGAAAAAATTTTAGCTGATTGTCCCTCAGACAAAGGGCTTCTATCTAGAACATATAAAGAAT